CTGATAGTGCAAGTGTATGAACCAACATTCTGATAGTGCAAGTGTATGAACCAACATTCTGATAGTGCAAGTGTATGAACCAACATTCTGATAGTGCAAGTGTATAGATCCATTCACGAACCAACATTCTGATAGTGCAAGTGTATATATATCAATTGCGTATCGTACGACTCCGCCATTCACCACTTCGCTACCCTCAAATTACAAAGTTTTATCTGCTCAGTGATAAGTCGCAAAATATTTGATGATAAAAATTTTGACTTTCACAACAGGGTCTAGATTTTACGAATCCAATTTTTTGAATATCTTGATAACGACTCCGAATAATCTTACAATTTCGATAGAGCAGATAGATGACGCTCATATATGACCTTACGCAGTTACGAGCACCATAAAAACCTTCCTAAAACTAAAACTAAGAGAAGATACATAAGGTAAGAAAATACTTTATAGTCCCACAGGGACATTTTCGGGACATTTGGTTTCTGACCTCACGGTTGTAGTAACTCAAAACGGCCAAAAATGTCTGGTAGAACTTCATAACTTTTTTTTTGTGTTAGTTTAGAATGGGGTTTTACGGGGCTCGCAACTGCATAAGGTCATATGAGCGCACGAAACACAAGTTAGTTTTGGGTTTTTTATACGTAGTTTACTGCACAGCTGTGTATGGGTTATTTGATCTTAGATGTTAAAATATTTAAAATTTGGTGTAGATATATAATTTCAGACTAAAACAACTTTCATTAAAAAATTTAACAATTCAATTTTGTTCTATGCTACAAATTTGTAACTTTAAGGTAGCGACTTTGAAAAAGTGACGTATGACAGTCTTACACTGACCAATGGATTTGTGGCCATCTCCTCTTGAACGACATTACAAGTGACAATAAATGGAATCTGAACAGCATGAATGAAAAATACACAACAAAATTAATCAAATTCCATTTTTATAGGCACTGTCAACCCGTATAGTCGTGTAGAAATAGAGATATATATTATATATATATATATATATATCTTTTACTTCACAATCTGGAAGTGTGAAATCATCGTATTGCTTGTAATGTTTATCACAAATCACTAGCTGTTCCATTACCTGCTAATCGTTTAACAAATACACACGAGTAAACATGTAATGCCCCGGTGTGAGAAACTCCCTCCAACCACCCACACAATCCAGAGGGAAAACTTGTATTTATAACGGACAGTCAGATAGAAAAACCTTCGAGTGAAAAGATTGATGGAGAAAGAACGTTCGTCATAACAAACCCAGAGACAAAAACCCTGGAGTTGTTTCAAAGATTCAGGGAGCAAAATATTGTAGCTTTTAAAATTCAAAGAAAAACACCTTTTTAACTTAAGCTAAAAAAAGATTGAGAAGAAAGTTATAAAAGTTTCAAGGAGGAAAACCTTTTAGATTAAATGATTCACGGAAGATGACTTATTAGTCATAAAAGATTCATGGGGAAAAGACCTTTAAGATATTCATAAATATTCACAGAGAAGGACCTTTGATATTAAAAGATTCATAGAGGGAAATCTAGAACAATCTGTCCGATTACAGGACTCACAGAGATGAAACTTTTAGTTATAAAAGATTCGCATAGAAAGACTTTTTTAAATATTCACACAGAAGAATCTTTGATATTAAAAGATTCATAGAGGCAAATCTAGAAAAATCAGTCAGAGTACAGGACTAACAGAGATGAAACTTTTAGTTATAAAATATTCACAGAAAAAGACCGAAAACCTTTTAGATATAAAAGAATTACAGAGAAAGAAACAATTTAGTTGTAAGAGATTAGCAGAGAAAGATACAATTTAGTTGTAAGAGATTAGCAGAGAAAGATACAATTTAGTTGTAAGAGATTAGCAGAGAAAGATACAATTTAGTTGTAAGAGATTAGCAGAGAAATACCTTTCAGTCAAAGGAAAACCTTAATCATGAAAGAATTACAGAGAAAGACGAAAGACTTTAACAAATGTTTAGTAACAAAAGATTCACAGCCAAAGGAAAGAACTTATGGTCACAGGAAAACATTTCCGTTATAAAAGATTCAGAGAGGAATACATTTTAGTCATGAGGGGTACACAGAGAAAACATTTTGAGAGACAAAATTCAGAGGAAAAACCTCTTTTTTTTTCTCTTTACTCATTACTACAATGTTTTGAAGAGTATTTGTAAATTGAATGTATGTAAGTTGAGTTGTTTTTTCTCTTTACTTATTACTACAATGTTTTGAAGAGCGTAAGAAATTGTAAAAAGAATTCAAGTTTTTCTTTCTTCTCCTTATTCTTTTTAAATTAATATAATGTTTTGAAGGGCATATTTGTAAAGTGAATGTAAGTTGGGTTGGGGTTTTTTTCTCTTTTCTTCTTTGACAGAATGTTTTGAAGGGCATTTGTAAAACGAATGTAAGTTTGCATTTTGGTTTCTCTCCTTACTTATGAATATGATGTTTGGAAAGGAATTTGTAAAGTGAAAGTAAGTTGTGTTGTATTTTTTTCTCTTTTCTTCTTTGATACACCATAGCAGACACGATCCAATTTTTATTTTTTTTTTGGGGGGGGAGGGGTTGTCAGGAGGAGGCAATTCAGAGAGTTCATTTCTGGCGCATGTGTGCCCCCCAAAGCAAAAATAACTCGTGTTATTCGGACCGTTCATTTCTGGTGTACGTGTCGACCAGCGTGTGAGTAGCTCTCACAACACTGAGTAATTTCTTGGCAGCTACCGGGCTAGGAATGGTCAAGAGGTCAACAAATGCAAGGCAGGAATAAGAAATGAAGGATTTTTTTAGGGGGATGGGGGGGGGGGTGTGGAGGGATTTAGTAACATTATTAACATACATTTAAACCTGGTGGTTAGTTTGTCCGCAGACTTTGCTGATTTTGAGGCACTGATTACGAATACGACATCGGATTTTTCATCCAAATTCAAAGATTGTTTCCACTTTACGTCTTTGGTAAGTGTTTTACGGCGCTCGCACCTGCATGAGGACAAATGAGCGCACCTGAATTCTCAAACACAAGGTCTTCAAGAGTGTCCGGGAGAGTGACCGCGGGTCAATGATGGTCGGAGGTGACCGGCGCTCGTATGACCAACGTTCAGCAAGAATGTTAGAACGTTCCCTTGACCTTGGGTCACTGATGGTCGGAGGTGACCATGGGTCAATTATGATCGGAGGTCACCTGCGCTCATATGACCAACGTATCGTTCAGCAAGAACGTTAGAACATTCCCTTGACCCTGGGTCCCTGATGGTCGGACGTGACCTTAGGTCACTGATGGTTGGAGGTGACCTTGGGTCACTGATGGTCGGAGGTGACCTGTGCTCGTATGACCAACGTATCATTGAGCAGGAACGTGCCCTTGTCAAGGTGCGGCAGTGCCACAAAGTCTGTGTACCCGTAGCCCTTGTGGTTGCGAGGGGTTGTCGGCTTCTGGAAGGCCGCCATCTGAGGCCTGGACTCCAGGATCTCATTGACGGGGAAGCGTGTGCCCTGGTTGGGGCTCTGATCCACCACCGTGAGGTTGATCCGCCCCGAGAACGGCCAAGGCAGGAAGTCGTCGAACTCGCCCCGCATCACGTGGATGAACAGCGAGAGGTGCGGCCCGCCGATGGCCTGAGTAGCCATGTTGATGCTGGCGCGCAGACACATGCGGTAGCCCCACGTGCACGTGTAGAATGGCGGGCTGTGAAGCATTGTCTGCTCGCCCAGCGCGGCTCTCTGCCGCAGCCGGCTGAAGTCTTTGATGCGCCAGTAGAAGTCCCCGTTGAAAAACCTGGCGTCTTTATCAGCGAGCTGCTGCTCCAGCTCCCGCACCCGCTCCTGCAGGTCGAGATTGGCCGTCTCTGACTGCGCCAGTTTGGAGTTAACCTCGTCTAACTTCTGCTGCTGCTGGGTCAGTTTTGAGTTCACGTCTTGTAGGACTTCGACAAGGCTCAGGTTGGCCCCTGAAGGCCCCGACTGACTGGATGACGAACCCTCGCGGCTGTGGAAGAGAGACGAGAACCTGGGCAGCGTGCTGGTCATGTGACCCACCGGCACCAGGGGCGGCTGCGACGAGAAAGTGGGAAGGCGGCTGCTCTCTACGAGGCCGCCCGAGGTGAGCCTAGAGGTCGGGTTCTGCATGTCGTCGAAGGTGCTGCTGGGGCCCGTGACAGGGGAAACGCTGCGAGGGGGGAGGGGGGAGGGGGAGGTGGAGGTGGAGGGAGGCTGCGTGAAGCTGGACACAGAATTCCCCGAGTGGTAGACGGTGCTCCAGATGCGGTGCTCTCCGTCGAAATATTCCTGGTTAAACGGGCCTGCCTCTTGACCTTGACCCCTGCTCGACTCGCCGTTCTCCTCGTGTCTTCTCGGGATCCCGGCGCCAGACGACGCTACACTGGGCCCACTGAGCGGAACTAACGACGACGTACCGCCCCCATTCTGATGTCTCCCCACATCGCTGACGGGCGAGACAGACGCTTGAGGGGAGCCCGACACCACTGGAGGTGCGAGCGGTGTCATTCCGACGACTGGCACCGACCCGGCACCGACAGTGACCGACCCAGTACCGACAGCCCGCGAGACCTGTAAGTACTCGAGCAAACTGGCCAGCTTTCGAGACGGGTCAGCCTGCTGCGTGTCTGGTACGTCCAGCTGTAGGTGGGCCGAGGAGACCAGGGAAGAAACATCCGCCGGCCGCCCTTTCATCTGGTACATGAGAGCGGACACGCAGTGACACAGCTGCTTCATGTGAGAGGGCACGGCCGCGCGGAGATGTTCCTCCTCCTCGCTTCTCAACATCTGGGGAACACACATTTTTTTTAAGATACAATAATTTTGTTCAATGTGTCTTTTCCACCCTCATCAAGACAGGAGGAAGACAGCCCAGCAGAAAACGTTACACAAACTCTTAACTCTTTATCTGCTTGGAGTTTTGAACAGATTTTGTTGGGGGTTTTCCACTTGATAAAATTCTGACCAAGGGTATTACACAAAAAAAGCTATATTTAGATCAAATACGCTGAAATATAGTTGTAGCATACATCAAAATGTCCGAAAATGAATGAACTTTTATAAAATGTGCATTTTGGGGGAGATTTATATATATCTTTTTATGTTACGCAATCATAAACACACCGATAATTTTTTCTTCACACAAAAGTTGGCGAAACATAAACTCATGACTTCCCATCAGAAAGCTTCGCATTCGCATTTTATCGCATCCTTGAATGCAATCACACAGTGTGCGGCTCCCAGCAGATAAAGAGTTAATATGAGGATTATGCCCCCCTCCCCCTTCCCTCCCCAAAAAGTACACATTTAGAACAAAATTGCCATTGCACAACTAATCACTCCCCCCCCCCCCCCCCCTAAAAAAACTTCCGCCCCCCCCTCCATATTTCTTTTCTTCAAAATAAACTTGGCAAGTGACTCATTAATCAATTGACAGCATTAACATCGGCAGCAAAAAGGGCAGCAGCAGCAGCAGCAACAGCAGCAGCAGCAGCAGCAGCAACAACAGCAGCAGCAGCAGCAATAGTAGCAGAGGACTACCTGAAAGCACACCTGCCAACCACTCTATGAGCCAACATAGCGGTGTTCCTCAGAGCCTTCCCCACAACATAGGAGAGAAAGTGAGAGTGAAAGCAATCCAACTCTCCAGAATTCCACAAAAGGTTCAGATTACGTTACAAATCGATCCTGGCAAATAACTTCTATACTGCGAATACATGTAAACAAAAACGATGTATTTTCACACAATAATGGCAGGTCGTTCATATAACAATGTTGCAAAAAACTGTAAATAAACCTGTGCATTTTCACATCATTCACAATAACTTGTGTATGAATGATGGAAACAAAATTAAAGGTAAAAAAATTGCTTTCATGCCAATCCATCCAGGTTTCTTTTATAGGCAAAAAAATTTTTTTAGTTGGAGTGCTTCGATCTTATTGGACAACTTGGCTGACCTGAACCAGGTATTCAAATCTCCAACATTATTGCGACTAACATCGTCAAATGCATCATCCATTGCTTTCGCCACCATTGTTCTTTCTTTGACTCTGACTCAATAGAAGAGAAAGAAAACGTTCAGAAACATTTGGTACAACTAGCAGGGGGAGGGAGCAGACACAACAACACACAACTCACCCAGTGCTCACATCCCAGGACAGACAAAACAACACACAACTCACCCAGTGCTCACATCCCAGGACAGACACAACACACAACTCACCCAGTGCTCACATCCCAGGACACTACAACACACAACTCACCCAGTGCTCACATCCCAGGACACAACAACACACAACTCACCCAGTGCTCACATCCCAGGACAGACAAAACAACACACAACTCACCCAGTGCTCACATCCCAGGACAGACACAACACACAACTCACCCAGTGCTCACATCCCAGGACAAAACAACACACAACTCACCCAGTGCTCATATCCCAGGACAGACAGAACAACACACAACTCACCCAGTGCTCACATCCCAGGACAAAACAACACACAACTCACCCAGTGCTCACATCCCAGGACAAAACAACACACAACTCACCCAGTGCTCACATCCCAGGACAGACAAAACAACACACAACTCACCCAGTGCTCACATCCCAGGACACAACAACACACAACTCACCCAGTGCTCACATCCCAGGACAGACAAAACAACACACAACTCACCCAGTGCTCACATCCCAGGACACAACAACACACAACTCACCCAGTACTCACATCCCAGCACAGTACTCACATCCCAGACAGACACAACAACACACAACTCACCGAGTGCTCACATCCCAGGACAAAGAACGGGCAGTGGACCAGGACTCGCTCACACTCTGTCTCCATGTGCAGCAGAGCCTGTCAAGGGAAAAACATGGGACAGTTTAGTTTAGTTTTAGTAAGAGTTTTACGGCACTTGCAACACAATAAGGTCATATAAGTGCCGAAAATTAGAGGTGTTACAAGAGAGTGACAAACACAAAAAAGAAGGAGAAGAGATAAGGACGATAGATGTTTGATAGGAAAGAAGAAGAAAACCACACCAGAGCATCCACCAACCACCCACACAATAAGGTCATTTTAGTGCCGAAGATTAGAGATGTTCCAAGAGAGTAACAAACACAAAAAAGGAGGGGAGATCAGTACAATAGATGTTTGATAAGAAAGAAGAAGGAGAGACAAGGACGATAGATGTTTGATAGGAAAGAAGGAGGAGAGATAAGGACGATAGATGTTTGATAAGAAAGAAGAAGGAGAGAGAAGGACGATAGATGTTGGATAGGAAAGAAGGAGGAAAGATAGGAACGATAGATGTTTGATAAGAAAGAAGAAGGAGAGAAAAGGACAATAGATGTTGGATAGGAAAGAAAGAGGAAAGACAGGAACAATAGATGTTTGATAGGAAAGAAGGAGGATAGATAGGAACTATAGATGTTTGATAGGAAAGAAGAAGACTAAATCTACTACACTAACAAATTGACAGAGAGGACCAACGAGAAAACAGGGAGGGAAGATCTCGAAAGTAGGTCATGGAAAAATAAGCGAGACGACAGCAAGTCTCCCTGGGTTAGAGTTCTTGCTGTAAACCAGCCTCCTAGGACGCAGACACAAGTTTTTTTTTTTTCCGTTACCAGTTGTAGGGGGTGTTTTCTTCTTGTTTTTCCATTTTCTCACCTTTCTGATTTTCTTTTTCTTCCAATAACCATCCACCAGGCCAGCTTGGTTGCCCACTAAGACCTGGGGGAGACCTTGATTACCGAGGCAGCGTCTCTGCTCGTATGGGATTCTATCATTTGTGAATAGCATCTAAAACTGGTGGTTCTGTGATTTTCCTTCCATCCCGGGGTAGGAGATAAAGCAGTGGCTGTAGGTGCAATGCCACAAACAAAAACCCAACTCCATCACAGAGAGATTGTAAGAAAAATGAATGGGTATGTTGGTGTCTGTTGTATTATATTGAGGAGTTGTTTGAGGAGATAAAGAAGAGAAAGACGCTATTAAGAGCATAGTTGCTGTGTGTTGCTGAAACAAGTTTGGTTTAAGCTCTAGTAAGAGTTTTACATCTCTTACAACACAAATAGGTAACACAAGTGTTGAAGATTAGGTTCTAGTAAGTTTTAGTAGAGGTTTCACGGCACTCGCAACTGCATAAGGTCATATGAGCGCCAGAAGATTAGAGGTGTTACAAGAGAGTAACAAACATAAAAAAGAAGGAGGGGAGATAAGGACGATAGATGTTTGATAGGAAAGAAGGAGTAAGAGTGTTACATTTCTTATAACACAAATAGATCACATAAGTGTTGAAGACTAGAGAGGTGTTACAAAAAGAGTAACACACAAAGACAAGATGGAAGAGAGATGAGAACAAAAGACAGATGTTTGATAAGGGAAAAAAAGCAAACCACACAAGAGCACCCTCTAACTACCCATGAAGACGACAAGAATGTGTCTTATCAAGACAAAGGACGCTGATAACAAGCTACCCTATGGTGCTACAGTGCCCAACTTCTGACGATGCAGTCCATCACAACTGACAGCTATGAGTGGCCACCTGTTTTAGGAGTTCCCTCACACACAAAGTCTTACGATACACAGTATTTCACACAAAGTCTGACAGTATTTCACACAAAGTCTGACAGTATTTCACACAAAGTCTGACAGTATTTCACACAAAGTCTGACAATATACAATAATCATACAGTATTTCACACAAAGTCTTACAATATTTCACACAAAGTCTGACAGTATTTCACACAAAGTCTGACAGTATTTCACACATCACTCTATGGTCTCACCTCGTCTCTGGCCATTTCTCTCCGACAGTACTCGCACAGCACGCGGGCTTTGGGGCACACATTCATGTGATCCTGCGGGGAACAAAATACAACTTAAGATTAGATTTGGTAAGACTTTTACAGCACTTGCTGCATATCATCATCACTATTGCCTTTCTCACTCTGCACCAGGGTATAGGCCACGGACAAACACTTTCTCACCCTGCACCAGGGTATAGGCCACGGACAAACACTTTCTCACCCTGCACCAGGGTATAGTC